AAAAACAGACACATAGATCAATGGAACAGAATAGAGAACCCAGAAGTGGACCCTGAACTTTATGGTCAACTAATATTCGATAAAGGAGGAAAGACTATCCACTGGAAGAAAGACAGTCTCTTCATAAATGGTGCTGGGAAAATTGGACATCCACATGCAGAAGAATGAAACTAGACCACTCTCTTACACCAGACACAAAGATAAACTCAAAATGGATGAAAGATCTAAATGTGAGACAAGATTCCATCAAAATCCTAGAGGAGAACACAGGCAACACCCTTTTTGAGCTTGGCCACAGTAACTTCTTGCAAGATTCATCCATGAAGGCAAAAGAAACAAAAGCAAAAATGAACTATTGGGACTTCATCAAGATAAGAAGCTGTTTATGCCACTGTTAATTGAATTCTCTGGTACTTGCAGCTGAAATCATTCCTAACTGATAAAAGCGAGGAGATGAGAATAACGAGCAGCTGTAAGGCAAGCTGCAGTTAACGGCCGTAACACAGATAAAGCTGAGTGATTCAGGGGAGGGTAAGAAGAAAGGCTTCATGAAAGCAGGAATTTGGGCAGGACTCTGAGGACTTCATATGGCTTAGACTGGAAGATACAGAGATGAGCAATTATGGGCAGAGAGAACTACATAAGGAAGGGCATGTGTGTGGCAAAGCTTGGCTCTATTTAGGGATTTGTGAGTTGCTGAAGATGGCTTGTGTGTAACATGTAGCGAGTAGAAATTTTATTTATTTATTTATTTAAAAAATTTTTTTAAAAATTTATTTATGATAGGCACACAGTGAGAGAGAGAGAGGCAGAGACACAGGCAGAGGGAGAAGCAGTCTCCATGCACCGGGAGCCCGACGTGGGATTCGATCCCGGGTCTCCAGGATCACGCCCTGGGCCAAAGGCAGGCGCTAAACCGCTGCGCCACCCAGGGATCCCAGGAGTAGAAATTTTAGATGATAAGTCTGGAAAGGTTGATCAATGCCATCTGTAGAGGAGTTGGGTCTTAGCTGGGTCGGCATGAAGGAGGTGAGAGTGGCATAATCAGAGGTGCAGTTCCGGGAGATTGTTTTGGTGGTCATGTTTATGATAGTTTATTTGGGAGGGAGGTCAGAGATTGAAAAACCACCAATTTAGGTTACCCCAATAGTCAAAGTGAGAGAAATAAAGACCTAAACTGGATGTGGTTATGAGAGACAATGGGGTGCCTGGGTGATTCAGTCTATTAAACATATACTGTTGGTTTTGGCTCAGGTTCAGGGTCATGAGATGGAGCCCTGAGACAAGCTCTGGGCTTGGAGTCTGCTTGGGATTCTCTCTCTCTCCCTCTGCCCCTCCCACTTGTGCTCTCTCTCTCTGTCAAATAAATAAATCTTTAAAAAAGAGCGCGAGAGAGAAAGAACAGATTGAGAAGTGCCTCAAAGGTGAAGTAGGTGCTTGGCACTTGATGGAGCTGGGGCCTGGTGACACCTACCCTTCTTGGTAAGGCTCTGTCCTGGGTTTTGGAGTCTGGAGATGAAGTTTCTTCATGGTTTTTCCTCTGCCTGGAGTATACATCTGCCTTCCTCTCGACCCTCAGTCCCCACCACCTCTCTAGATCCTTCAATACCAACCTCAGATCCCACTTTAAGAGTCCACATATCCATCAGTAGGAGAACAGATAAATGGTGGTGCAGTTATACAATGGAATGCTAATGAGTTATGAAAAGGAACAAACCCACAATGCGTGCAGCCACATGGGTGACTCTCAGATAAACGATGCAAATGAAATAAGCCAGACCAAAGCATACATCCTGTAGGATTCCATTCATATGAAGTTCAGAAACAGGCAAAAATAATCTATAATGAGGAAAAAAAAAAAACCCGGAGTAGCACTTGCCCATGGGGGCTGGGGGACTGAGTAGCACTTGCCTTGGGGGGTGGGGGAAGGAGTTTTCTAGGGTGAGGGACAGAGGTTTAGGTCACGTAGGAACAGGGGTTTGTTAAAACCTGTACAGTGCCACACTTAAGATCTGCAAGTGAACTGTCATTGATGACGTGCACGCTGACGGCTGGCTGGCTGGCTACGTGCGCGGTGGAGCAGAGCTAGGAAGGTGTTAACACTGATAGAATCTAGGTGATGGGTAATGGGTGCTTAACTCCAATTCTCTCAACATCTCTGTGTGCTTGAAATAGTTCATAATGAAATGCTGGGGGGAAGCTCCTGAGTTTAAGATTTGATAATCCACCTACCCAAGAGCAAAGGCAGTCAAAGACCACCCTGCGGCAAGATATCGGCCTTTGTAGGGTGGCTATGACCAGGGGCTGAAAAAAGGGGCAGTCTCGTTCTTGATGCCTTCCCAAATGATTTTGGCTGGTTCGGTGCAGTAGAAATTCTCTTCTCTGCACTTTTCCCTGAGTTCCAGTATCATTAAATCTTCTCTTTGCAGACAAACCCTCTATTCCTTCAGGGTTTGTGTCGTCTTGCCCTGGGGGCAAAGAAGCACAGCCCACCCAAAAATTATCATCCAATAATAAATTTCACATCTACTTTGATTATGGACTGCAAAGTTATTTGAAACACCACACAACAATGTGATTGGTTCTCTTTTTTTGTTCCAAGAGTAAAGAGATTTAACAGAAATGTCAGCGTATGGAGAGGAAAACTTCCCAGCCCACAGGAGGTCTCCTGCGGAGCACGTAATTAGAAGTGGTCACTGATGCGATTTCACCTTTGCCACGGGAATAGCTCTTCAGAGCTTGTGGGCTTCTTTCCCGTGGGCTTCGCCAGAGGCTCTATCCCCTTTGTGAGCAATACCTCTTCATTAGAATCTCTAATTCTATCCCTGATACTCATTTAATTATGTATTTCTTTTTTGTCCCCAACTGGAACATCCTCGATCACAAGTTTCAATCTTTCAGAAATCACTATTTTTCTGAAGCCTTGCCGCAGCTGGGTGGCCAACCTTTCCCTCACAAAGTCATGTTGCCTACTTAGGTAACTTCCTGTACAGTGTTTAGTTTAATATATATGTATCCTTAAAGGACATCGCTCCTGCGTTTGTGGATCTCTTTGAACTACTGATAATACTTTCATATGTATTTTTATTACATACTTGTGAAAATCTTTACTTCACTTGCTTCAGCAAAACAGAGGTGTAATCTTTACGATTTTACTTTCTCCAATCTCATACATGTTGGCTTACAATTCATTTTTCTATTTTGCTTTGCGTAGATGCCCTAGTGATAGGAACTAAACATTCCTTAGAGGGCAGAAGCCTCCAAAACTCAGTGATTTACATCCTTGGGTAGGTTTCAGAATCCTCTAGAGTGCTTGTTTGCACTGCAGATTCTCCTTTATGGATTTATTTTTTTTAGAGGGAGAGAGAATGGAGGGGGAGGGGCAGGCAGAGAGGGAGGGAGAGAATCTGAAGCAGGCCTCGTGCCAGCAGAGCTGGAGCTCAGGACCCTGCGACCATGACCTGAGCTGAAATCAGGAGTCGGAGGCTTGTGTCGAGCCACCCAGGTCCCCTGCACTACAGTTTCTGGAACCCATCCCTCATATAGGTGTAATGGGGATGACATTTTTGAGAAATGATGTCTGTTGGGACATGGGTTACGTTACATAATTTCAACCTCACAGAAACATAAAATGGTTAACCTGAATATTTAGAACACATGTGCAGGATATTTACATTTTGACCTCAAATTATCATCACTTTACAGTGCTGCTTCATAAATCAGCCTGGAATAAGTGACACTAGATTTTCTGTCTTGGAAGATGAACAAACCAGGGACGAGAGAAAGCCTGATTATTTCCCTTGTGGTCAGTCTTTGTAAAGTTGTGTAACCCTTGACTAAGGATATGTTTTCTCCTCCACATTTCTAAGCTGACTCTGGAGATAAATTGCCCTAAGGGTCTGAAATTTTATGTGAGGTGTTCAAGGAGTAACAGGACATCAGCACTTATAAATCAGTGCCACTTATTAAGGAACACTTGTTTTATTAAGGAAATACATGAAAAATGTTAAATAAAATCAAATGATTCCAAAAGTCTAGCAGCAAAAACAGTCCCTTGCTTTCTCCCCAAGCATTTTCATTCTCTTAGCTTTTCCTTCTGGTGGTTACCTTTTTGTTGGTCCCCGCCTCTGTTAACTATTTTGGTATTTTTTTAAATGAATACATATATCAATATGTGTGTATTCTTTGCATGTATTTATCAGCCTTTTGAGTTTCTTCGTCTCTAAATGGCTTGCTTCTTTCTCATCAATATCTGAGTTCTAAAGATTCTGGATACTAATGGTTTGCTGTTTATGCTCCTGGCAGAGAGTGCCCTTGTTTTCTTATGGTTTGTAAATATTATGCAGTATGGATTCCCATCCTTTTCTGTGATCTTTTCTTCCTCTATGGAAGACTTTAGTTAAGTTCCTTTTCACTCTTGATATCCTATATCCTAATTTTACTGAACTACAGCGCTCAATTATTATCTTAAGTAATTGTACATGAAAACACACAGCACTTCAAAAAAATCTAATCACAATAGGCACATGTCCAACTCTTATACTCACGATGGTTTACAGCACGCATTTTCCTACACATACTACATATACTTATTAAACACTTTAGGTATTGTACGCACTGTACTTTTTTTATTTGGCAGTCTGGCATTTTTCTGTCAGTCCCTTATTCTTTTTAACTGCTACAGATAGTATTTTATAGACACATCCATTGGTTATTTCTTTATTGACTTCATTTGGGCTGTTTCCAAGTTTTAAAAAAAATAGCGTAACAAACACTCTTGGGTCCATCTCTTTATTATTTTTTAAAAAAGATTTTATTTATTTATTTATTTATTTATTTATTTATTTATTTATTTATTTATTTATTTATTTATTTATGAGAGACACAGAGAGAGAGGCAGAGACATAGGCAGAGGGAGAAGTGGGCTCCATGTAGGGACTCAATCCCAGGACTCCAGGATCACGCCCTGGGCCAAGGCAGATGTTCAACCACTGAGCCACCAAGGTCCATCTCTTTATTTAGGATTAATATCTAGAAGTGGAAGCCCTGGGTCCAAACCCAGAATATTGTGAATTTTAATTGATATTGCTAACTTAAACTCTAAAAAGGTTATATTAATTTACAAGGCAAAAAAAAAAAAAAGGTATTTCTTTGGATACCTAACAATCCACATCTTTGCTAACATGATGGGTAAAATGTGTTTTAATTTTCATTTTTTAATTCAGCAAAGTTTAATTTAGTTTCCATCTTCATAATTTTGGTTTCTAGCATTATCCATTTCCAATTCATTACCTTCTTAATTTCTAATTTTAGTCATGTGCTGTTATTATTCTTTTTTATAAGGAACAGCCTATTCTTCTTACATCATAACATTCCATGGAATCTCACTGAAGATCTAAAACAGTTTTTAGAGGTCTCAGACATTTCTTTTTAATCTTTAAAAAGGTAGTGTCCTACCTGCCTTTTTACTATCCCTATGGAATTATTAGAGTTCTCAACTTACTGATTTCCTGAATGAACAGAACTTTTTCAGAAGTGTGATATAGATAGGGAAATCAAAGTTCCTATTTTGATCTAATTTTCTTTTAATATTTGAGCCCTCGCTTTTCTGTTTTTAACCCATTTCTGAGTTCTGGACAAATCTGTCTAGTCCTATCTTTGTAAGTCCTGGTTTCAACTCATGCTATCAGGGATTGTCTCTCTTTGGCTCTTGGTAGATATGCTACCCTAGGCAGGTACTGGTCCTTGATGGGCAACACACAGTTATAGCAAGAAATGTTTCACAAATGATGTCTGATATGGTCTAGTTAAGATTAATAAAATCACACTGCTTAGAAAGCATTATCCATTGACTTAGAGTCAACAAAAGTTTTTTTTTTCTAATATTAAAATATAGATAGAATTGTTTGGTGGGGGGGGGGAACTAACTTGAAATAAATCAAAAAATATCTTCACATTAATCGTTCTTCTCATATACTTCAAATTTGTACTTAATGCCTTTCTCCTCCTGGACATCAGAAAGAACACCTGGGTATCTGTAAAAGAAAATATGCATAATAATATGCCAATTAAAAAGAGACCTTCTCTGACTCTCAGTCAAAAGGCACCAATAACACAGAGGTAAATAATACAAAGGTAAATAACAGAAGCAATAACACAGGTAAATAAAAGTCTTCCCTTCCTTTTTTCCTTCACAATGGTAAACCACTGTGAAACTGGGTATTATGCAAATTCACTACATGTGGGAACAGAAAGAAAAACTTTCAAACTGTATAGAAAGTCAGAAAATGGAAAGTACCAATTTCTCCTTTCCTTCGGACTCCTAATCTTTCTGTCCAAAACTAACCTCCATCAGCAGTTTCTCTTTTCTCTTTCCATTACCAGTCAGCTAACATGAAATTGCTTAATAACATTTTGTAAATCTTACATTAGGTATCAAATTTCTTGTGTGAGCAAAGGAAAAACGAAATACAACCTTTAGCTGCTTAGAGCAGAACTGAAGTTGTATGTCCTGTGTGGTGTGAGATTCTCAGTTGTTTGTTCAATCAATGGACACTACTCTGCTCTCATTTCCCAGGGACTTACAATTCTTTTATTGACATTGCTTTTTTTTTTTTTTTAAAGATTTTATTTATTTATTTATGGAGACAGAGGGAGAGGCAGGGACACAGGCAGAGGGAGAAGTAGGCTCACCTCAAGGAGCCTTATGTAGGACTTGATCTCGGACTCCGGGATCACGCCCTGAGCTGAAGTCAGATGCTCAACCACTGAGCGACCCAGGTGTCCTTACTGACATCACTGTTTATCTGATATTTTCTAACTCTCACTTAGCTCTGTGTTTCTTCCGTCCTCCAATTCAAAACCAGGCCCTCCAAAAAAAACCAAAAAAAAAAACCAAAAAAAAAAAACAAAAAAAAACCAGGCCCTCCTTTGGGTATACACCAAAAAATGGAGTTGTTGCTAGATCATATGTTAATACTCTTTTTAATTTTTTTGAGGAACCTCTATATTGTTTTCCATAGAGGTTTCATCATTTTACATTCCCATCAACAAGTATAAGAGTTTCAATTTCTCTATATCCTCACCATTACTTGTTATCTCTTGGATTTCTTTTTTTGGTAACAATCAGGATTGCAAACAGATATATGCCCTCCTATGTTCACTGCAGCCTAATTCACAATAGCTAAGCAACCTAAATGCCCATCAACAGATGAAAAATGGATAAAAAATGTGGTCTATACATACAATAGAATATTATACAGTCTCAAAAAAGAGGGAAATACTGCCATATGCAGCAACATGGATGAACTTGGAGGACATTATGCTCAGTGAAATAAGCCAGTCACAGAAGAACAAATAGCACAGTATTTAAAATGGTCAAAGTCGGGATCCCTGGGTGGCACAGTGGTTTAGCGCCGGTCTTTGGCCCAGGGCGCGATCCTGGAGGCCCAGGATCGAATCCCACGTCGGGCTCCCGGTGCATGGAGCCTGCTTCTCCCTCTGCCTGTGTCTCTGCCTCTCTCTCTCTCTCTCTCTCTCTCTCTCTCTCTCTCTCTCTCTCTCTCTCTCTGTGACTGTCATAAATAAAAAAAAAAAAAAAAAAAAAAGGTCAAAGTCCTAAGAACAGAGAGTAGACGGTGGTTTACAGGAGTTGTGGGAAAGGGGAAATGGAGTTATTGTTCAAAGGAAGAAAGTGTGTGCAAGATTAAGTTCTAGAGATGTGCTGTGTAACACTGCCTACAGTTAACAACACTCTGTTATATAATTAAAATTTTGTTGAGAGTAGGCTTCATGTTGTATTCTCAACACAATAAATTTTTTTCCCACTGTAAAACACCACCACCAGCAAAAAAAAGAAAACCCAGGAGGACGCCTGTGTGGCTCAGCAGCTGAGTCTCTGCCTTGGGCTCAGGGCTTGATACCTGGTCCGTCCACTAACCACTCTTATCTCCAACTCAAATCTTTTTTTTTTTTTTTAAGATTTTATTTATTCATTCATGACAGAGAGAGAGAGAGAGAGAGAGAGAGGCAGAGACACAGGCAGAGGGAGAAGCAGGCTCCACGCAGGGAGCCCGACATGGGACTCGATCCCGGGTCTCCAGGATCAGGCCCTGGGCTGAAGGCAGTGCTAAATCGCTGAGCCACGAGGGCTGCCCCTCCAACCCAAATCTTGTACTTCCTTAGTATTGTGTCGGCCACACCCCCAATATGCTCCAGGTGAGGGGGAGGAACATCTGCTTTAATCAGACTTGTATCTGACTCTGGTTCTGTTGTGTGATACTTAAGTTATCAACTGAGCCCGGGTGGCACAGCGGTTAAGCATCTGTCTTCAGCCCATGGTGTGATCCTGGAGACCCAGGTTCGAGTCCCACATCGGGCTTCCTGCATGGAACCTGCTTCTCCCTCTGCCTCTGCCTATGTCTCTGCCTCTCTTTCTGTGTGTCTCTCATGAATAAATAAATGTATGTCTTACCCTTGTCACTTCCATTCATAATTGCACTGGAGGTTCTAACCAGAGCAATTAGGTAGGAAAATGAAATTTTAAAAATGCAGATTAGGAAGAAGTAAAACTACCTCTGTTTGTAAATGATATATCCTGCATATAGAAGATCCTAAGGAATTTACTAACATTAGAATAAATGAGTTCAGCACAGTTGCACGATAACAGGATCAGTAAACAAAAATCAATTGTATATCTATGTATTACCAATGAACAGTTTGGAGATAAAATGATGAACACAGCTCCATTTATAATAGCATCAACAAGAATAAAACGCGTAAGAATAAACTTAATAATGAAGTGTAATACTTGCATAGTGAAAGCTACAAAAAAGCACTGGTGAAAGAAATTAAGGAAGACCTAAATAAGTAGAAAGATACCACATGCTCGCAGTTTAGAAAAATAAATACTGCTTATATAGCAAAATTCTTCAAATGGATCCGTGTAGTAATGGCTGCACAACTCTGTGAATATACTAAAACCACTGAATTATATACTTTTAATGGGTATGATGTATGAATCATTACTCAGTAAAGATTTTCAGTTCTAAGAGCCGGAGAGCCAGAAATATTTTAAGTTATCAAAGATCCTCGAGGGTCAGTTTTGGAAAGAGGTCTGATGGAGAGCAACAGGATTTGGAAAGGTAAATTCATACAGTAATCTTTCTCTTACCAGCAAAGAGAAAGACAGAAATGTGACAGCACCTATCAATATTCATATAATGTGAGAATCAGCAACCTAAGCAATACAAGAGAAAATATGTAAGATGTGACAAAGAAACACAACTGATTTTATAAATACATATAAAATCACTAAGTGTGATTTTTCTATGTGGTCACCTTTGGGGACTAAGCAAAACCCTGTATTTCAGCTTTTAAGAAAACTTTTAGAGTTTTTAAAAATTTCAGTTTTCTTTAGAGCTAGTTAAAAGCCAAGGAAATCACACACTTCATTAGATTTAAGATTATTACTCTATAAGGACACTTGGGTGGCTCAGGTCATGATCCCCAGGTCTTGGGATGGAATCCCACATTGATCTCCCCATAGGGAGAGCCTGCTTCTCCCGCTGACTGTGTCTCTGCCCTTCTGTCTGTGACTCTCATGAAGAAATAAATAAAATCTTAAAAAAAAACAACGACAAAAAAACCCCAGACTACTCTATAGACTTATTTTAAAGCTTGGCCATTCACTTATTCAGACTTGGTTTGAATGTCCTTTTAGGAGGTACTTTCCAAAACAAACTCACACTCAAAGAACAATGACTGGATTCAATTGAGAATATCTGAAAGAATGTGTTAAAACCTAATCTGAAAGTGTGGATATGGTTAATCTTTTACTCTTCATAGCTAACAGCTGAAAAGTCCTTTTTAATTTTTTTTAATTGAAATATAAAAAAGTGCCTTTAAACTAAAATGCTAGGAGTCTTCAAAATCAGGCAGTTTCATGTTAAAAATCACAACCCCATATACAACAAATATAACCTCTTCTTTCGATCTCTACCACTATCCAAATCTCTTATTCTTTCTCTTCAATTCTCACAGCCAACTGCTCTCCCAGCTTCACTCTTGCCATCCTTCCCCCATCCCAAGTCTGTTCTCCACAAACAGCTGGAACAATATTACTCTCTATTCAAAACCTCTAAACCTGCCCCTGGTTTGACTCCTTCTGGCTTCCCCCTTGCTTACAAGGCTCACAGTGGCTTTCAGCCTCAGGGAGAATACCACGCTGGTTCCCGCCCTCTGGTGTCTACACTATTTCTGGTTTCTGGAATGGTCTTCTCTGCTGTTTGCACGGCTGGCTTCTTGCTATTTAGATCTCAGCGTAGATACTACTCTTCAGAGAGGACTTCTCAGACAATACAGTATTTACCACATCACAGTATTTCAGTTCTCCATATAGCAACTCTCTTGATGTTTATCTATCATTTGCTACCCTCCTGCTCTACTACAAAAAAATCTAATCTTAGAGAGCAGTACCTCTGCCTTGGTAAGCAGTGTTTCCCTAGTGCCTAAGACAAATGTCTGATGCTAAGCACAGATCTTGTAGAATGAGCTAATGACTACTCTCTAGTTGTCAGTAAGATGATTAAAACTTAAACATTCCCGGGCAGCCCCGGTGGCTCAGCGGTTTAGCGTCCCCCCGCCCCTTCAGCTTGGGGTGTAATCCTGGAGACCTGGGATCGAGTCCCATGTCAGGCTTCCTGCGTGGAGCCTGCTTCTCCCTCTGCCTCTCCCTCTCCCTCCCTCTCTCTTTCTCTCTCTCTCTCTCTGTCTGCCTTTCTGTCATGAATAAGTAAATAAAATATTAAAAAAACCCCCAAAACTTCAACATTCCCAAGTTTGTTAAATCAAGATTTACTAAAATTCCTAAACTATTTGTCTATATAACACATAACTAATCCAAATTCAATCTGAAGAGATATACTTTTTTTTTTTTTTTTTTTTTTATTTATTTCTTCATGAGAGACACACAGAGAGAGAGGCAGAGACACAGGCAGAGGGAGAAGCAGGCTCCATGCAGGGAGCCCGATGCGGGACTTGGTCCTGGGACTCTAGGATCCCGCCCTGAGCCAAAGCCAGATGCTCAACCACTGAGCCGCCCAGGCATCCCTCCTTCTATAATTCTTAAGTAGGAAATCCAAAATGCTTCAGACATATTAGTGGCATTTTACTTACTCTGGCAGAAGTTTATATTTCTCCAAATCAATTTCTGGGAAAAATGTGTCACTTTCAAATTCATGCATAATCCTTGTCACAAATAGTCTAAGATGGCCTGGTTTGTTCATGGCTTCCTTTGAAAAAACACAAAAGGTATCAATTTCCTAATTTATCTGTCAAAAGAAATAGAAACTTTTAAGGTTTCTGTTTGATTATACAGTTTATACTAGGTATTAGAGACATGCTACATATCTTTACGTCCAAAGCATGCTACTTATTTATCTATTTACTAAAAATATTTTATTTTATTTTTTTAAGATTTTATTTATTTGAGAGAAAGAGCACGTGCGCGTAAGCATGAGCCATGAGGAGGGACAGAGGGAGAGGGAGAGGTAGAAGCAGACTCTGCTGAGCAGGGAGCCAGATGTGGGGCTCAATCCCAGGACCTTGAGCTCATGACCTGAGCTGAAGGCAGACACTTAACCAACTGAGCTACCCAGGTGCCCACAAAGAAGGCTGTTTAAATATCCTATTCTTTAGGATATTTCGAGAATGGGACTAATCATTAGCAATAATTACGAGAGGGAATTTAAACATATTCTGGCCTCTAGTTTACTTACATGAACTCTTTTCATTTAAGCATTCAGTATTCCTTTTTTCTTTGGTAGTTGTTTAAGAATTAAGAGCTGTAAATTATCTAGTTGTTCTTGAAAAATTTGCATAGGTATATATGGATAAGATAGTATAATTTCTTGAGATTTTCATCATTGAAAACCCCAAGGGCACACTTAGTACATTTGCATAGAATTTAATAATGCTTCCGCTTCTTAGGAGATAGTTACAATGATAGTAGGTAATTTACTTTCTTAGCCTCTTGTTGCTAATGATTTTTATTTGGCCTTATATTGTTAATGTCTTTTTTAATTACTGCCTAGGTACTGCTGATAGTTTCTATAGAAAAACTGCCCTTCCTTTTGCAAAGATGGGCCGAAGGAGAAGAAGGAAGCCCCTGCCCCTCCCAAAGCCGAAGCCAAAGCAAAGGCTTTGAAAGCTAAGAAAGCAGTGCTGAAAGGCATGCACAGTCACACAAAAAAGGAAGATCCGCATGTCACCTACATTCTGATGACCAAGACCCTGCGTCTCTGAAGGCAGCCCAAATATCCTCTAAAGAGCACCCCCAGGAGCAAAAAGCTTGATCACTATGCTATCATCGAGTTCTCCCACACTACTGAGTCAGCCACGAAGAAAATAGAAGACAACAACACACTTGTGTTCATTGTGGATGTCAAGGCCAATAAGCATCAGATCAAACAGGCTGTGAAGAAGCTCTATGCCATTGATGTGGCCAAGGTCAACACCTTGATCAGGCCTGATGGAGAGAAGAAAGCATATGTTCGACTCACTCCTGACTATGATGCTTTGGGTGTTGCCAACAAAATTAGGATCATCTAAACTGAGTCCAGCTGACTATCAATCTAAATCTAAATTTTTTTTCACCATAAAAAAGAAAAGAAAAACTGCCCTTGGGACACCGGGGTGGCTCAACTGGGTGGCTCAGCAGTTGAGCATCTGCTTGTGGCTCCAGTTATGATCCTGGAGGCCTGAGATCAAGCTCTGCATCGGGCTTCCTGCATGGAGCCTGCTTCTCCCACTGCCTATGTCTCTGCCTCTCTCTCTCTCTGTGTCTCTCATGAATAAATAAAATCTCTCTTTTTTTTTCTTAAAGGATTTTATTTATTTATTCATGAGAGACACACAGAGAGAGGCAGAGACATAGGCAGAGAGAGAAGTAGGCTCCCTGCGGGGAGCCCGATGTGGGACTCAATCCCAGGACCCCAGGACCATGCCCCGAGCTGAAGGCAGACGCTCAACCACTGAGCCACCCAGGTGTCCCTAAATAAATAAAATCTTTTTTTTTTAAATAAATAAAATCTTAAAAAAAAAAAAAAAAAAGAAAAGAAAAAACTGCCCTCAAATGAGTATCTTAAAATTCTAATGAAAAGTCATGAGTTGCATCTCTAAGAAAGCAATAACCCTTGATTTTCAAATAGCTTATAGAAAAAAAAAATAAGTATATACATATATATACACATATACATAATTTTAAGTGCGTATTATCTTTGAAATTCCAAATAAGGGCATAGAACAAATTTTGTTTTTTATTTTTGTTTTTTTATACCACGCATATTAAATCATTTATTCTCTTGCCCCAACCAAAAAAATGTTCTACCAATTTTTACTGTATCAAAAGTTAGAGAAACTTGGGGAACCCTGGGTGGCTCAGCAGTTTAGCCCCTGCCTTCGGCCCAGGGGGTGATCCTGGAGTCCCGGGATCGAGTCCCGTGTCAGGCTCCCTGCATGGAGCCTGCTTCTCCCTCTGCCTGTGTCTCTGCCTCTCTCTCACACATCTCTGTGTTTCTCATGAATAAATAAAATCTTAAAAAAAAAAAATAGAGAAACTGAATGAGACTAGCCATAGAAGCTTTGAAAAAAGCTTTGAAAATCTGTATCTAAGTAAATGCTATACAGCAACCCTTTTCTGTAATGGGTCAGATGGTAAATATGTTAGGCTTTGTGGACCATATGGTTTTTTTTCTTACTTTGTGGGTAACAGCAGCCATAGATAATATTAAACTGGTGGGCATGGCTGTGTTCCAATGAAACTTTGTTTACAAAAACAGGCTGGTCCCAGGGAAGATAAGCCTAAATGTTCCTCATGCTATTGTGATGTGAGGCAGGTGGGTAATGCAAAATTATCAGTTGTAATTTCTACTTCCTTATAACTTACATATATATAAAGTTACATATAAAAATTTAAGCTAAATATGTATAGCTAACAACAGGGATAATGTGTTTTATTATTTTTTGATAATGTGTTTTAATATATAAAATTTAAAAATTTAATTTTAGGAACGCCTGGGTGGCTCCGTGGTTGAGCATCTGCCTTCGGCCCAGGGCATGATCCTGGAGTCCCAGAACCAGAGTCCCACATCGAGCTCCCTGCCTGAGCCTGCTTCTCCCTCTACCTGTGTCTCTGCTTCTCTTTCTCTCATTAATTAATAAATAAAATCTTAAAAAAAATAAAAAATAAATATTAAAAAAATATATTTTCAAGTGAACATGGTATTAAATCATTCAAAATGTTGGGGCACCTGGGTGGCTCAGTGGTTGAGTGTCTGCCTTTGGCTCAGGGAGTGAGCCTGGGCCTGCTTCTCCCTCTGCCTGTGTCTCTGCCTCTTTCTCGGTGTCTCTCATGAATAAATGAAATCTTAAAAAAAAAAAAATCAAAACGCATACTGAACAAAACAAAAAAATGACTTTTTGGCGCCTGCCTCTGGACCAGGTCGTGATCCTGGAGACCCGGGGATCAAGTCCCACGTCGGGCTCCCTCCGTGGAGCCTGGTTCTCCCTCTGCCTGTGTCTTTGCCTCTCTCTGTGTGTCTCTTATGAATAAATAAATAAAATCTTAAAAAAAAAAAAAAGGAGTATTTTGGGCACCTGGTTGGCTTGGTCTGTAGAATGTGACTCTTGATATCAGAGTTGTGGGTTTGAGCCCCATGTTGGGTGCAGAGATTACTTAAAAATAAAATTTTACCAAAACAAAACAAAACAAAACAAAACAAAACAAAACAAAACAAAAAAAAACCAAACCCCAAAAACCAAAACAGCTTTGGGCTGGAGCCTCCACCTTCCAGTAATATACCAAAGTGACCAAGGGAAAGAGGAGAGATATCTGCTGTCTATTCTCTAGGCCTTTTAGAAAACATGGAGTTGTTCCTTTGGCCACATATGTGTGAATCTACAAGAAAGGAGATATTGTGGATATCCAGGGAATGGGCATTGTTCCAAAAGGAATGCCCCACAAATGTTACCATGGCAAAACTGGAAGAGTTTACAATGTTACCAAGCATGCTGCTGGCAATGTTGCAAACAAACAATTTAAGGGCAAGAAAGAGGGAAGCCTGGGTAGCTCAGCGGTTGAGCATCTGTCTGCCTTTGGCTCAGGGCATGACCCTGGAGCCCTGGGATCAAGTCCCACGTTGGGCTCCCTGTATGGAGCCTGCTTCTCCCTCTGCCTGTGTCTCTGCCTCCTTGTGTCTCTCATGAATAAATGAAATAAAATCTTAAAAAAGAAAAATAAGGGCAAGAAAGATTCTTGCCAAGAGAATTAATGTACATATTCAGCATATTAAGCACTCAAGAGCTGAGATACCTTTGTAAGGGCGTGAAAGGAAATAATCAGGAAACGAAAGAAGCCAAAGAGAAAGGTATTTGGGTACAACTGAAGCACCAGTCTGTTATACCCAGGGAAGCACACTTTGTGAGAACCTATGGAAAGGAGCCTAAGCTGCTGGAAACCATTCCCTATGAATGCATGGCATGATAAGCGTAAAAAAAAAAAAAGAGTAAGGACTGTTTTCTCTTTTATCTGCTTTTCCTTATATTATGAAATAATACTTTTCTCATGCCCTCATATAAAAATTGTTAGGGAAAGTTTTCTGCTTTTTAAAAAAATTCATAGATATCTAGTCAGTATACAGAAACCAAGAACCCCAACCCTTTCTCAGTAAGGACATATATAAATCCTTGATAAAAGGGGAATAATTTGGCATATTAGGGCATATCCAGGGAGTAGAAAACAATGCAAATATGATTCTAAAGGGAAGGATTAAAAAAAAATAAAGGGAAGGATTTAGAATGTTTTTACTTTATTTTTTTAGAGTGTTTTTAAATTAGAAACATCAACTATTTTGAATTGAAAATAAACTGAATAGGCTTAAAACTTTTATGTTTTAAAAAAAATTTTTGTTTTTATTTACTTTTCATGAGTATCTAAAATGGGTAATTCAAATTGACATTATGTCTAGCTAACAATAGGGAGGGATAACGTGCTTCCTCTGCTCATGGCTTAATTTTTTTCAAGTTCAGAAGGCAGGGAAGCTGAAGGAAAGTGAGGCAGAACATTTCTTTATAATTTTACTTACCTTATAAACAGAACTGCCTCCCACTATCCAAACCATGTCCACTTTATTTGCTAATTCTGGTTGCTCAGTAAGTTTTAAAGCATCATCCAGACTTTTGGCAAGAAAATGAGCTCCTTGTGGAGGTTCCCTAAGGTAAAAAAAAAAAAAAAAAAAAAAAAGAATTACAAATAATTTCTATAAAACTTGTTCTTATTAGTCAACTAATCTGAATAGGAATAAGTAATTCTAAAACCAAAGTCATAAATATGAATTCTTTCTACAAAAAAACTAAAAATCATATGGCCTATGATCAATAATTGAAACCATGTGTGTATGTATTGCCCACAATGAGTGAAAAACAGGAACACTTCTGGTGTCTTGTAATATTTATGGTGGAAAAAAAATCAGAAGAGTAGTTGTCTCTGGAGAGATAGGGTAAAAGATTCACTGGGAAGAGGCATCAGAGAACTTTTGAAGGGTTAGGGTAATGTTCTCTTTGACATGGGGTTATATAGGTGCAAACGTTTGTTAAAACAGCAAAAGTACATTTAAGACTTGTACATTTCAGGGACACCTGGGTGGCTCAGTGGTTAAGCATCTGCCTTTGGCTCAGGGTGTAATCCTGGGGCCCCGGGGGTTGAGTCCAGCATTAGGCTTCCTGCAGGGAGCCTGGTTCTCCCGCTGCCTGTGTCTCCGCCTCTCTTTGTGTGTCTCTCATGAGGAAATGAATAAAATCTTTATTTTATTTTATTTTAAATATTTATTTGTTTATGATAGTCACACACACAGAGAGAGAGGCAGAGACACAGGCAGAGGGAGAAGCAGGCTCCATGCACCGGGAGCCCAACGTGGGATTCGATCCCGGGTCTCCAGGATCGCGCCCTGGGCCAAAGGCAGGCGCCAAACCGCTGCGCCACCCAGGGATCCCTGAATAAAATCTTTAAAATAAAAAAGAAAGACTCGTACACTTCACTGTATATGATACTTACCTCAAAAGAGTAAAACTAATGAAATACTGAACTCTAGTTAATCATATGTATGCTAAGTATTTAAGGGGAAACATACTAATGTCTACAAGTTACTCTGAAATGCAGGATAAAACAAGACCAACTGATGTATGGATGGATGGTAAAACATGCATAGTAAAACACGTTAATGATAGAATCTATGTGGTGAGTATACGTATATCTACTGTGAGGTTCTTGCTGTACTCTCGTAAGAGAATATGCTTGAATGACTGTAGTATGTAATGATTTTTTTTTCCCTTTTTTTTTTTTAAAGAGAGGGAGTGTGCTCCTAAGTGCCACGGTAAGGGGGATGGGCAGAGGGAGAGAAAATCTTAAGCAGGCTCGAAGCTCAGTTCAGAGCCTTAATGCGGGGCTCAATCTCATAACCCTCAGATCATGACCTGAGCCGGAATCAGGAGTCAGACGCTCAACTGACTGGGCCACCCAGGTGCCCCTGGAATGATTTTCAAACTGTTAATACAAGATGAATGGGGAATGAGTAAAAGACTTTTCATGTTTCAACCAATGTAGAAATGGATGAAGTATTAATAAATGAGCATGTTATTTTTTGTAATTAAAAATCCAAAGAAGGGGTGGCTGGGTGGCTCAATTGGTTAAGCATCTGAATGTCTGTCTGACTCCTGAGTTTGGCGCAGGTCATGATCTCAGAGCTGTGGGATGGAGTCCTGCATTGGGCTCCACATTGGGCATGGAACCTGTTTGAGATTCTTTCTCTGCCTGCATCCCCCCTTCAAAAAAACCAAACAAGAGTTAATTAATTTCAGGGTTAAATATTCAGCTTACTCTCTTCCTACCTCTACAACTGTCTTTTCTGGGGGGGTTGGGAATGAAGCCCTTTATAAATGAAGAAAGACACAGAACTTGGCTTTTACTGTAATTAGAGAAATTATAATTCAATGTCAAGTTCTTAGACTGATGCTTTAAAAAAATTATGTAACTGCCTTTGAACTTGTAGCTATAAAAATGATTAATCTAGAACTAATAGAGACTATTCATTCTCTTGGCTGCCTCCTCCCTACCTCCCTGAGAGATATTTTACCTATTTCATGCTTTGTCATCTCTAAAGGAGTTAAGAGTACAAAGAATATATTTTTACTAAAAACTGGAAAATATATGGAGGCTAAGGTGAGGTTAAATGAACCAAGGGATTCTCTAAGATGTCAGGGCAGCTGCAGTGACTAAGTTGGACGAGACTGTGTAGGGGCAGAATTAAGAAACAGATTTGAACTCAGGGAGAAGATAGTCTAGTTAATAAAGTCTAGATATGACTGAAATAGACTCAAAGTGGTTTTAGTAATTGAGGATGCTGAAGTCAAGAATGAGAGGAGTCAGGGCACTATGGAAAACAGTGACTTAAGAATTGACATATGAGAACTGGAAGAGACATCCTAGAAGGTGGCGGGTTTATAGCAAAATCATTTAGAAGGTGGTATAAATGTTAGTGTGGACTTCAAATAAATGGGGTAAACATTTTGTGTAGACTGTGGAACAATGGCTTGAAATGGTGCAAGGACTTCAGGTAAGGACTACTTCTTTGCCCTTTTGTAGTGTGTCTGAAAAAGGAAAATACAGGATTTGTTTCAGATTTTAAAGATTTTTTTTTTAAATTTATTCATGAGAGACACAGAGAGAGAGAGAGAGAGAGAGAGAGAGAGAGAGAGAGAGAGACAGGCAGAGACACAGGCAGAGGGAGAAGCAAGCTATGCAAGAAGCCTGATGTGGGATTCGATCCCGGGACCCTAGGATCACGACCTGAGCTGAAGGCAGATGCTCAACCGCTGAGCCGCTGAGCCATCCAGGCATCCCTGTTTCAGATTTTAGTCATTATAAGGACATGGAGAAAATGCTCCTGCAAAATGTTGCTACTTAGCAGTTTAGAAATAAGTTTCACAGGAAATCTTTGATCCAAGACAAATAGAAAAAAATAAGCAAAAAGTTGAGCTAATGTTTGAGTTCATTAGCTCATTGTCCTATGTGAAAGCACCTATCCTAGAAACTAACATAGTAAATAGAATAGCAAGCATTTAATACTGTGACTTATTTCATTGCTAAATTTCCTTCCTATATTTATCTCAAGTTAACAGAGATTACATTTCCTGACAAAAGTTATATGGTTGTATACAGTCGGAAACAGGTGGACATGCTTGATACGTTGTTTCAAACTTGTCTTTTTTTTTTTTTAAAGATTTTATTTATTTACTCATGAGACACAGACACAGGCAGAAAGGAGAAGCAGGCTTCCTGCAGGGAGCCCAACGAGGGAGCCCAACGCGGGACTCGATCCCAGGACTCCAGGATCACGCTCTGAGCCGAAGGCAGACGCTCAACCGCTGGATGAGCCACCCAGGCATCCCCAAACTCAAGAGTCTTGAATTCTCTCAGAGAGTTGGCAGGATTAAGAAAAGATAACGCACAGAGTAGGCGCTACAGTGATATTTCCAACCTTCTCTTTTTCCTTTAAAGATTCTTTTTATTTTAGAGAGAGAGTGTGAGCAGGTGTAGGTGGGGAGGAGCAGACTCCCCACTGCGCAGGGAGCCTAACGGGCTTGATCCCAGGACTCTGGGCACACGATCTAAGCCAAAGGCAGATGCTTGAGCCACCCCTGTGCCCCTCCATCTTTCTCCTTAAAAGCCCTATTCAAAAGAGGGTGCTTTTTACTTGATGGATAGTTGTAGTATAAAGAAAATATCTAGTATTTATTCACTTGCTCTCCCCAATAGTGGGATCAGACAGGGCTTTACATATATCGTACCACTTAACGTCACCAGCAGTCCTGTGTCTGTACTTTTTATTCCTGTTTATAGATATGGAGGCTGAGGGGTAAATAGCCGGTGGTGACAGAGCTAGGAAATGGTGGACCTGGGATGTGAACTCCAGCAGCGTGATGTTGGAGTCTGAGTTGCAACTTCCTACATAGACAATAGATTCTCAACTGGTCCTCATGGGCTATAAAGGTGTCATATTCTAGTCCCCTCAGACCTCAGGATGGTGTGGTCTAATGTAAATGAGCTGTAAGACCAGTGTCCTCTGGCCTTGAGCAGTCTCATTTAATTTCCTCATGGTATCACATAAATATTATCCTTTTCCACTATGCCTGATGTGAAAAATGATGATGGGACAGATGAAATTCTGGCTCAATTTCCCTAGAGACTATTGGGAAAGCTTACTAAAAAACAAAAAACCCTAGACTAGAATTACATCTTAACCAAAATTCAAAATAAATGTTCAATTTAAGACCTTTCCAAACTCAGTCTTTAAAATGGGACTTCCAACTATTTAAAATTGGTTCAAGTATGCTCCATACTCATAACTGATTCTATGCAGCCTCTAAAAGTATTTACAGATATTAATCTTTCGGGGTGCTTGGGTGGCTCAGTCAGTTAAGCAATCTGCCTTCAGCTCAGGTTATGATCCAGAGGTCCTGGGATGGAGCTCTGTGCTGGGCTCCCTGCTCAGCAGGGAGCCTGCTTCTCTATGTCCTTGTGTCCCTCACCCATGCCCTGTGCTCGCTCGAATAAATAAAATCTTAAAAAAAATAATCTTTTAATATATAAAATGGGGGAAAAAAGGCAGGTTACAAAACAGGATGATCCTATTTTTGTAAATCACCTATTGACCATTCATTCTGTGAAAATTTCTGAAGCCCTGCTTTGCTAGGGGATATGCTAAATGGTGGGAATAGAGATAAAAAGAAAAGCACTCCCTGTACCAATGGTAGGTAGAAAATTTCTTAGCAGTGGTAATAATGTAAAAAGGACATGCAATGGGGATATGTGGAGGATGCTAGATGGGCAGAGGTGATGCATCTTCTGGGTGTGGTGATGAAGAATACTCCTTGGAGAAAGATCCCTTAGCAGAGAGTATCAAAGGAGATAAGAACATGTGCAAAACATAGAAGTGACAGATGATCATAGATATTACTAAGGTTTGTACTTAAGTCACTGAAGTTATTTAACACAAAGCTCCAAGAAAGTTGAAGGCAGAAGTAATCTGTGGTGTGGGACGCCTGGGCGGCTCAGTGGTTGAGAGTCTGCCTTTAGCTCAGGGCCTGATCCTGGATTCTGGGGATCGGGTCCCGCATCGGGCTCCTTGCATGGAGCCTGCTTCTCTTTCTGTGTCTGTCATGAATATATAAATAAATAAAATCTAAAAACAACAAAAAAAAGTAATCCGTGGTGAGATTTTTATTTTTTTTAAAGATTTTATTTATTTATTCTTGAGAGACACAGAGAGCAGGGAGCCCGACGTGGGACTCAATCCCGGGTCTCCAGGATCACAACCTGGGCCAAAGGCAGGCACCAAACTGCTGGGCCACCTAGGCGTCCCTGTGGTGAGATTTAAAATTGTAAATGGTAGGACAGTAGAGCAAGGTCTTGACAACAGGAGAAACTGGGAGTCTAGAATAAAGTGGTGGGGCAAGGGGAGGGTTCTGATTATGAGAGGAGGGGATTTTTGTCTCAAGATTGAGGGAAGTAAGAGCAAAGTGGTATGGTAGAGTAACAAAGAAATCATAAGCCTGTTCACTGTGCTGCCATTAATGTATTTTCTGTAAGATATAAAGTAAGGTAACTTTGCTGAAATAGCAAAGGTTGGGAGAGTAGGAGCTGATATTGAGAGTATACTGTGTGCCAGAAATTTAATACATAAAATTTCAATTAATCTTCAAAATCACCCTAAGAAGTTCTCACTATTAATCCCACTTAGTAGATAAGGAAATTGAGGTTCAGCAAGGCTTAAAGTTAATAAAACCTAAGGCCACAACGTTAATAGGCACCAGAGTAGGTATTAGAAGCCAGGTCAGTAAGTTTAAGTTTTTGTTATACTAAGTGTGTGAGTGGAGGGGAGAGAAGAAAGCTTCAGTTATTGTGGAGAATAGTGAGACCATAAAAAATCATACTATGAAATGTCAGATAACTTTTATGGGCTGGAGACAATTTAAAACATATTTTTTAAAGAATTTATTTATTTATTTATTTGGGGGGGGGGGCAGGCAGAGACCCAGGCAGAGGGAGAAGCAGGCTCCATGCAGGGAGCCCGACGTGGGACTTGATTTTGGGACTCCAGGATCACACCCTGGGCTGAAGGCGGCACTAAACCGCTGAGCCACCGGGGCTGCCCCAATTCTGGATTTCTTAAAGATGCTATCAAAGCTAGAGCACTATGGCAAAATATATTTAATTTTTCGTTCCAAAGCCTTAAAAATATTTTATTGATATAAATCATATATCGTATTATTTACCCTTTTAATATGCAGAATTTGGAAACATTTTTAGTATAGTCAGAGTTGTAAAACCATCACCACTACCTACTTTTAGAACAGAAAGAAAAGAAACTCCGTATCCATTAGCAGTCATTCCTCACTCTCATCCCCTTCCAGGAAATAACCTACTTTATCTAAGAATTTGTTCATTCCAGAAATTTCACATATGGAATTATGTGGCCTTTTACTTCTGGCTTTTTTCACTTGGCATACTGTTTTTCAAACTTTATCCATGTTGTAGCATACATCAGTTCTTCATTTTATTGTGGAATTGATGTAGGAACAAGTTAGGGGCAAGGCCCGAGAGTCAGGCTCCTACGCATCCCAAGAAAACAGAGAAGACAGTAAAAACAGACAAAATAAACCTTGCTCTTTAGCTCCAAGATGTTAGGGAGTATTTCCCTTTAATGGCTACTTAGGAGTCACAGAAATCGCAGATGTAGAGAAATATGGAGGGGATACTAACCAGAGAGAAGGAAACCCCTGGTTTGGGCTCTTATTTATAAAAAAAATATCTTATTATGATAGTTACAAGTCCACCATGTTTCTTCTAAAAATCCACTCTGATATTGATAAGAAATTTACCAAGTTCCCTGGTCAGCTTCCTATAAAAGACCATAAAAGCCCTCAGTGGCAACCCTGCCTGGACCCCTCTCACTTTTGAGAGCTTTCTCTGTATCTCTGCTTAATAAACTTCTATCGCTCTGCTCACTCTCTGTTGTCCACGAGATTCATTCTTCGACTCCATGAGACAAGAACCGAGCTCTCGCATATCAGAATAATATTCCATTGCGTGGATATAGGCTACTTTGTTTATCCATTCATCAGTTAATGGACATTTGGGATGCTTCTACTTTTTGGCTATTATGTATGATGCTTTTTGTTTTCTTGTGGTCATATGTTTTCATTTTTCCTTCATTTCATAAACCAAGGAGTGGAATTACTGGATATAACTCTATGTTTAACATTTTGAGAAAATGCCAATCTGTTTTCCAAATGTGGCTGCATATTTCTTTTAAAGCCACAACTTGATTGCCTAGTTTTGGAAAAGCATTTTTTCCCCTAGAGTTTAAGGAAATACTTACCCAAAATAATTAGTATTTAGCAGCAAATTTTGGAATTACCTTGAGGATTCAGTTTCTTCTTACATTGGAAGGTGGTGGTGAAAAACTGAGTATTTCCAAAAGTTTACACAAGCAATAATGATTACATGAGTAAATCTAGCACGGTCTGGCACAGTAGGTGCTCAGGTTATGGGTGATCCTCAGGAGGGAACCAGAACCTGGGACAAAAAAAACCTCTAAGATGTTTTCATAACTGGTATCCTTATTTCCCTAGAATACTTGATAATAAAGACTTTTGAAATTTTCTCTCCACTTTAAAGAAACAAGTGAGGGGCAGCCCTGGTGGTGCAGTAGTTTAGTGCCGCCTGCAGCCCAGGGCGTGATCCTGGAGACCCTGGATCGAGTCCCGCGTCGGGCTCTCTGCATGGAGCCTGCTTCTCTCTCTGCCTGGGTCTCTGCCCCTCATTCTCTCTCTGTGTCTCTATGAATAAATAAAATCTTAAAAAAAAAAAAACAAAAAACAAAACAAAACAAAAAAACAAGTGAGGGACACCTGGGTGGCTCAGTGGTTGAGCATCTGCCTTTGGCTCAGGTTGTGATCCTGGAATCTGGGATTGAGTTCCAAATCAGGCTCCTTGCAGAAGCCTGCTCCTCCCTCAGCCCATGTCTTTGCCTGTCTCTCTGTCTCTCGTGAATGAATAAACAAAATCTTTTAAAAAAAGTGAAATACAGCAAATGTTATATACAAATATATAAGAAAACAACCAAACCCAATTATATACACCACAAGGGGGTCATAAAGAAGAAATTAGACTCATCATTTGAGGAGATTTGGTGGCTCAAATGAGTATATTCCCCACTGAGATTTCTTTGTTTGTTTTAGATCAAGTTGGCCATAAATAAACTTGAGTAGTATTCAATATGTTACTAAAGAGTCTCTGGGAACAGCAATACAGCCTGTGAATTTGGATTCTACCAAGAAAAGGGAAAATCAGAATATCCTAGCAAACAAAAGAAATAGTATGAAGATGGAGGCAGATGGCAAGATGTACATTAACATATTTCTCATCACCCAAAAGCAACTGATGCAAATATTCTGGTATACTTTCATGTTTTTACCTATGCCATTCTAGGAGAAGATTTGGGAGAAAATCTGTATACACCTGAACCTCCTTAGCCTACAGTGTGTAATGTTTTTTCGTTCCCATGATGTGGTCTTTGATGTGTTCACCTGATTGGGCTATAGTCCTTATCTATTTAGACACGAATCTAGGCATTGCTGTGAAGGTATTTTGTAGATGTGATTAAAGATGATAATAAGATGACTTCAATCTGGGTAGGCACAATTTAGTCAGTTCTAAGGCCTTAAGAACAGATCTGAGGCTTTCCTCAAGATGAAATTCCACCTGTAAACAGCAGTTTCAGCTCCTAATGGAAAGTTCCAGCATGCCCTCCCTTCCTGATGGCCTGGCCCACAGAGTTTTGGACTTGCTTAGCCAGCACCCACAAATGTGTAAGCTAATTCCTTGCAATAAAGTCCCCAGGGCATTTCCAAGCACCAGGAACTATCTACTGGTTAGACTAGAGGATAGGAAAATTCCTAGCAGAGGCCAAGTGGAGACACTCTTTTCTCTCCAAGATCCCTAGGTTGGTTTCAATACTTTCAATTTTTTTTTACCTGTAGACACTGGGTAAAGAAGACAAGTATAAATTATTATTTGGGGGACGCCTGGGTAGCTCAGCGATTAAAGCGTCTGCCTTCGGCTCAGGGCATGATCCTGGAGTCCCAGGATCGAATCCCACATTGGGCTCCCTGCAGGGAGCTTGCTTCTCCCCCTGTGTCTCTGCCTCTTTCTGTCTCTCTCATGAATAAATAAAATCTTTAAAAAAAAATAAGTATTATTTGGGTGTTGTGGTAAACTAGCACACAAGATCACAACTGATTTTTAGCCCATCCTAAAATTTTTATCTTATTATATTGAGGACAGGATTCAGAAAGGGAATAAACACTCAATCCTAGCAAATCCCAAAACATACCTGAAACTAGAAAAAAGTTACTAACTATATGGTATAAATGTTACTTGAACCCACTGAATAACAGTTTAAGAAACCTGGCAAATCAGTTACCACAGTGAGATTTAATGTAACTTTTCACAGTGGAGGAATCAATCCCTTAAGCAGAGTAAATTATTTTTTTTATTTTTTAATTTTTATTAAAGATTTTATTTATTTATTCATTCATGAGAGAGAGAGAGAGAGAGAGAGAGAGAGAGAGAGAGAGAGAGAGAGACAGGCAGAGGGAGAAGCAGGCTCCATGCAGGGAGCCCGATGTGGGACTCGATCCGGGGACTCCAGGATTATGCCCTGGACCGAAGGCAGGTGCCAAACCACTGAGCCACCCAGGGATCCCCGAGTACATTTTTATGTGGGATAAATAACTGCTTATTCATTTTCACTAAATCATCTTTATGATATTAGGCAGCTTGATTAATAATGCTCTACTTATACTATTTTGTCATACACTGACCTCCACCGTAAGAAATGGGACATGATTTTCCGGTGGTGAATTGGTTACAGTACTTACTTGAGGTCTCTGCTGAGAACTATATTAATTCTGCCCTTTAAAGGTCGATTCTTCTCAGGAATAGAGAACCATGTCTTCCTACCCATAATCACCAAATTCTGTTTACCTAGAAAATCATATAAAAAGAGTATTTTGGGAGTATACATTTATATTTTCATATGCGCGCGCGCACACACACACACGATGGTCATAGTGACATCTAGTGGATCTGCATTAAAAATTAAAATTTAAAAACAGTTTACCAAAATTTACATTTATCACCCATTTCCTGAATATAGTAACTATTTTTCCCTATGGTGTTATCCAGTTCATATCCAGTATTAAATCTTAACCTACTGCAATCATGTAAAAACAGTGAAGAGCCAAGGTTCTGGGGCAAAGTGCTCAATTCAATGAATTTGGTTACCTACTAAACAAGTCATGTTAATCTTCTGTGTCTTACTTTCCTTTTTCATAAAACAGAGATAATAGTAGTTCCTACATCTATGGTTATTGTATTGAAGTATTGAAGACTTAGAACATCTAATAAGACCTGTTAAACTGTTTGATATGATAGTATTATTCCTATTTGTATACTTTGTAGGTTTATATTAATAGTCATACATTTAAAGAAACTATACACGTAGCTTTTATTTCTGGCTTAATTACTAAGGGGAAAAATCTTGGAAGTAAGATACCTGGGTCAAAGGAATATATACATTTCTCTAATTCTTGCTATGTTCTGACAGGCTATCAAAAGAAGTGCATGTGTCTGTTTTAAAGAATCACCATTACCTTGATTTTATTTAAATAAAAAAACTATATGTGGGATGCCTGGGTGGCTCAGTGGTTTACGGCTGCCTTCCACCCAGGGCATGACCCTGGGGTCCCTGGATCAAGTCCCACACTGGGCTTCCTGCGTGGCGCCTGCTTCTCCCTCTGCCTGTGTCTCATGAATAGAAAAAAAAAAGAACTGCAAACTATTGTCCGCTCCTCGACTGTCCCTGTGCCCACGGATTATTGAGCGGTCACTGCGCCGAGGACGGCCCCTTCCCGCGCCCCGCCGTCCTCACCGTCACACGGAGGGTCCCGGGGGCGCTGCGGCGCTCGTCGGGTGGTGGGACTTGCACCCTCGGCGCTGCGCCCCGCCCGCCGCTCCTGCGGGCCCCGGTCCAAGGCCGCGCTCGGCTCGCCCACGCCTGCCCGGCTGCTGACCCCGCCCGGGCCCTCCGCTGCACACCTGCCCACATATTATCTCAAAACTACCTTTTTTTTTTTTTTTTTTTTTTTTAAACTTTAGAGTGTGACGAATCTTGGGAACTGCAACTCCGCGGGAAGACCAGAGGCCCCGGGTTCACACGGGCGGCCTTTCATGTCAGTCGAATGTGCCCTGGCACACGGTCCCGGGCCTCAACCACCTAGAAGTCCCACGTTACCTTCCACGGAGGAGTTCGTGGTCATTCTTTGGAAATACTTGAATTCATTCCTGCAAGTCAAACAGCGTTACTCAGACCACTGTCCCGCGGGCGACAGACGGACAGACAGACCGACAGGGCCGTGGGCAGGAGCGCGGGCTCGCGGGAGGAGGCCTCGCGGGGCAGCAGGGGCGCGACGCCCTCCCCCCCGCCCGGCGCCCCGGCCGCCCCGGCCCCGCGGCTACCTGAGCGGGGGCCAGGGCAGGTCCCCGTTCCTGCCGATGCCCATGTTCTGGGACACCGCGACGATGCAGTTCAGCGTGCGCACCATGGCGGCGGCGGCGGCGGCGCACTCCAGGCATCCGCTGCCCGCGCTGCGCCCCCGCCCACCCCGCTGGGCGCGAAGCCGCGGCGCCCCGCCCACCGCGTCCCGTCCGCGCAGACGAGGCCCCGCCCCGCGCCCCCGCGCCCCCGCGCACGGCAGGGTCGCAGCGTGCTCGCGCCCGCGGACGCCGGGTAGCTTCGGCCGCGGGCTCGCGCTCCCGGCTCGGCTCGGCTCCGGCCTGCCCCGGGCGGGCGCTCTGTGCTCCGCCATGTCGGGCCGGAAGCGTGGCCGTGCCGCCGCCGCCGCCAGCCCAGCCCCTGCGAGGCAAGCGGTTCTGAGCAGATTCTTCCGGCCTACGGGAGGCCTGAGACCCGGCTCGTCCGCCACGGCTGCAGCCGACGGGGCCGCCCCCGCCTCTGCCTCTGCAGCGCCCCCAGCGTCCGCTCTCCCGCCTCAGGTGCCGCCGCACGTGGAGGGTCCGGGGATGGGGCGGGGCCAGTGGGGAGATGGGGCGGGGCCAGGGCGGGGCTAGCGCTTGTGGGCGGGGCTAGGGAGCGGGACGCGAGGGGACAGCGCGCGAGAATCAGGGAAACTGGCGGGCCTGAGGGGGTCGGGGCGGGGCTCCGGGGGGAGGAGGCGGGAGGCGCCGGGCCGGCCCGCGCTGGGCGGTGCGCCGCTGTAGTTTCCCTTGCAGCCCTGTGCGTGGGGCCGGGGCCGCGCGGCTGCTTCAGCACCTCGGGTTTCCTGACTTCGTTCTAACGAGAGTAGGGGCTTTGGGCAAAGGATGCATCTTTTAACCTCTAGTCTACCTCTCGGCACCTTTAAGAAAAATGTGGATTGGAGGTTGAAGGGGAGCTTCGCCTACCTCCTTTATATGTGCTTTGCACGTACCGTTGTGTCCGCGCCTCCAGTTTTCAGCATGCCGCAGCGGTGCTCCGTATTTCTAGCGACCGGGTAAAGGCAGGCGCGGGCGCGGTTCCTCAGTGACGTGGCTTCTTGCACGGAGACCGCGAGCCCCGCTGCGCGGTTCGGGGTGGGCTGAGTTCAAGGTGCTGCACAGGTGCGTGGCCCGTCCTTGGATGCTCTGTTGCCTGCCTCGGTTCAGCCGACTGAAGTAGTTCTGCTTCGACCCCTGCCCCCAGGGAGGGGGGAAGAGTGAGCGCTCACTGCGGGTCCCTGGTACAGTGTTTTAGGAACGGAGGACGTGGAAAGGATTGCAGACTGCTCGTGGCCACCGGATGACAGTTTAGCTACTTCAAAGGCTTTTTTTTTTTTTTTTAAGGTTTTATTATTCATGAGAGACACACAGAGGCAGGGGGAGAAGCAGGCTCCACGCAGGGATCCGGATGCGGGACTCTATCCCAGGACCCCGGGGTCACGACCTGGGTCCAAGGCAGGCGCCAAACCGCTGAGCCATCCGGGCTGCCCTCTTTGTTTAAAGATTTTGTTTAATCATGAGAGATGCAGAGAGAGGCAGAGACACAGGCAGAGGGAGAAGCAAGCTGCACATAGGGAGCCTGACGCGGGACTCGATCCCGGTTTTTTTTTTTTTTTTTTTAAATATGATAGAGAGAGGCAGAGACATAGGCAGAGGGAGAAGCAGGCTCCATGCACCGGGAGCCCGACGTGGGATTCGATCCCGGGTCTCCAGGATCGCGCCCTGGGCCCAAGGCAGGCGCCAAACCGCTGCACCACCCAGGGATCCCCTCGATCCCGGGTTCTGGAGGTCACGACCTGGGCGGAAGCCAGATGCTAAACTGCTGAGCCACCCAGGGACTCCCAAAGTCTTCAAAGTCTTGTTCCCTTCATTTGTATTTCTTCCATACAGTGATTTCTCTTCTATTTTTGATTTTTGATGATAGTCTACATTTTCATGAATACACCAAGATTTTATTTTACATCTGCTATTTAGAGGGTATCTTGTGAAGGTCTTTTAAATTTTGATAGGTTTCGTGCCGGTGTATAGTTTATAACCTGTGTTATCTTCCGTGATGAACATAAGCCACGTGTGAAGGTGAAACAGTTAAATTACAATTAATATTTCAAAAGTGGTAGTGTTCTTTTGTTATGTATCTAATTTCACCTTTCCTAAATGGATGTATTTTTTTTTTTGATGTATGTTTTTTAAAGGTATTTTATTTAGCATAGGTAAGCAGGGTGACTCACGTTTTATAATCGGAGATAGATGAAGGCTGATAAAGTAAAGAAAGGTATCAGCCTTTGTTCTGCTAGCAGGGTTTGAAGTGCTGAAGCTCATGACCTCTAGTCTCCACGTTGTCTTTCTTGATGGTAAGGAGAGTTCTGAAACTACATGATTCCATGAAGAGGAGATGGCAAGGACCTTGTTACTCAGAAGTAAGGTTTAAATTGTTGCATATACATCAAGTTTTGAGATAAGAGATAACACATCATTTTCTAATTTAGGTTGCAGAAGTTGGCAGCAGTAAAAAGAGACCACTGGAGAGTGATGGGACTGTTCAAAAGAAAGCGAAGAAAGTCCAAGGAAAGGAAGGAAGAAGTGATTTAGTAATATCTGGGAACTCTGGTGAGTCCTAGGATGATGATTCTTCATTCTCAGTAGTCATGGCACTGATAACGTATTCTCCAGAGAGCAGAGGAGGTCATTGGAGAGATGGACCATTTTTTCCTTTATGGAGAAAAGTCTCCATTGTGCTTACGTAGAGTGGCCCCTTCATAAATGGTGGTGTGAGTAGGAGGTTGGGGGAATGGAAGGAGAGCTGGAGTTGTGCAGTTTAGCTCTAGTTATCTCCATTTTCTCTTTTATTCCTCCTAGCTAATTTTTGTCCTGATTATAAAGGTAATCTTATAAACATTTCAAGCAATACAGAAATGTAGAAGGTAGACAAGGAGAGACTCCACAATCCTTCCCTTTTAGGGAGGACTACTGGTCATTTTAGGGGGGTTACTGAATATTTTTCCAGGTTTCTCTATACACATCTATATGTACACACAAAGACTCACAAATTACATAATAATAATAATATAGTTGACCCTTGAATGCAATGAGAGTGAGGGACACTGACAACCTGCACAGTTGAAATTCCATGTAGAACTTTTTGCCTCACCCAAAACCCAACTACTAGTAGCCTGTTGTTGACAAGAAACCATACTGGTAACATAAACAGCTGATTAACATATGTTCTTATGTTACATATATTATATACCGTATTTTTTTTACAACAGAGTAAGCTATAGGATAGAAAATGTTAACAAAATCATAAGAGAAAATACATTTACTGTAGTGTACTCTATTAATTGAAAAAAATCCCCATGTAAGTGGATCCTTGTAGTTTATTTATTTTTAAAAGTTTTATTTATTTATTCATGAGAGACACAGGCAGAGGGAGAAGCAGGCTCCCTGCAGGGAGCCCAGTGTGGGACTCAATTCTGGGACCCCGGGATCACGCCCTGAGCCGAAGGCAGACGCTCAACCACTGAGCCACCCAGGTGTCCCAGGATCCTTGTAGTTTAAACCATATTGTTTAAGGGTCAGCTGTATTGTATAAATTGTATTACACCATATATACTAATGCAACTGTATCCCTTAACTGTTTTCCTATTTTTTTCATGTCTAGTAAGTAATTGTTTGGATCATAGATATGTTGGATTCTGTGTTATGTGTTGGGTTTTATGTTGCTTAAAAGAATATTGAATATGCATTTTTTTTTATATATATTTAAACCTCTTTTCCCATGACAATTTTACCTTGTCTCCTGCTAATCTTATATCTGGAATAATGTATATTTGAATCTCTTTCAAATTACTCTCCCCTTTTCAAAATGTATACTTGAGTCAATCTTCAGAAAATACATAATTAAATATAAATATGAAAAGCTTTAAACTCTTAGGAATAGACAAAACATAATTCTTGCCTTCAAAATATTTTTTTTTTAATAGGAAAGGTAAGAGGTGATAACTGCTGACCCTTTTTCATTATATTTAATAGTGGCTACCTAACAGGATTACCCTAAAGGAAAAAAAATAATGTATTCCGGCATATAGTAGATAGTAGACAGTAAATGATAGTTTTGTTTCTTTTATGGATTGCTTGTTTATGAATAACTGTCAGTTGGCAGACTGTGATAAATGCTATGGAGAAATGTGATGCTATAGGAACATAGACAAAAGATGATTGTAGCCTAGGGGAGTTAGCAGAGAGTTTCACGATAAAGTAGTTTTGAGAGGGATTAAAGAATGAGTATGATTACGATGTGGAAATTGGGGTTAAGGGCATTGCAGGGAGAGAGTTGCATGGGTAAAACTGTGGAGGCTGGACAGCAGGTGTGTTGGAGCAGGGCGGTGATTGGCCTTCCTTGGCGAGCCCCTGGTATCAGCATCTTGAGGTCTTTCCCCTTGAGCTGATCAGTTTCTCTGGTCTGGAGTCTTCCCTGCTCTTGGTTGGGGTGGGGAGCTCTGGCTGCCTGTGTTCCGAGAGCTCATGAGGAAGAGGCTGGGTTTTTCAGCCTACAGTAAAACCCTATTCCCATTATTCCTCTGGCTTAGGCACAGTACTCTGTCTCAGGTGTGCCTGTTTTACCTTTTCCAGAGAAACCTCCAGTTCTCTGCTGAGGTGGAGAAAGCACAGCTGCCCTTGAGCTTGCCATGAGTTAGAGGTCTAGGGATCAACTTGCTTTGAGCCAATCTTCTTTATTTTAGAACCTCCCTTTAGTACATATTGTATTGCTGCCCAGATTCCTGGGCCTTAGGCATTTTGTGTTATAAATGGTATTGGTTTTTGGTTTTCTTCACTAGTGATTTAGGATTTAGCTTTCAGGTGTGCTAAACTGGTTATTCTTCCATTTTTTCCTAGTTTCAGATATTTTATTTGCACCTGTCTCCCCTCTCGTTCTGTCCTCATGTACTTCTCTCTAAAAGAAAAACTTTCTTGTAGTTTGTAATGGGGTTTTAGGACCCAGTGAAATTACTTGTATATTTGAGTATGCTCTATTTACCCTCAACCCAAATGTCTCTATTTCCTTACCACGTTGTAGTTAGATTCATTGCTTTAGTGAGAAGTTCCCTTTTTAAAAATCCTACACTAGTTATGAATTG